GGGTGGTGGCACATTGACTTTAACCCTAGCACTCAGAACACAGAGGCCTGCATACTCTGTTAGTTCAAGCACAGCCTAGTTTACAGATCAAGTTTCAGGACAGCCAAGCTTATGCAATGAAAGACAGAAAGCTGGTAAAGACATACTTATACAAGGTGCCATGTTCCAACCCCAGTAAGCAGCAGAACCTGACAGCTTGGGACACATGGTTCTGGCTTAAGACTTAAGGATAAAAGAAAGACATTAAATCGTATTTCTGGTTAGCCTGGGCTAAAGAATCCGCTGTGATGAGCAAGATATCAGAAGTATTTAAGCAAGATATTGCTCTACTGAGTACTTAATGCTGGACGGCTAGAGCCAAAAATTTAGTTATGATTACGAGACCAGCATCACTGATGCGAAAATGTCTGGGAAGTGTTTTCTAAGAGCACAGAGAAGCTGTCTTCCAGGGGTAGCCAAGGTTGTGCCTCATGCTGGTAGATGGCGTTTGTAATGTGTCTCAACAGGTGGTATTGGTTTTTGAAGGTATTGATGGATGTAAGGCTTGGCACTGTGATAGGTCAGGAAAAGACATCACTGAAGGTGCAGTCTCATTCAATGCCCAGGACTGTAAGGGTCAGGCCAAGAGGTGCGGCACCCTGAGGAGATTCTATGAGAAATACTGGTGAAAGTGAAACCCGGTTGCAACAGAAAACCCCAGTGTTTTGGGGATGCCAGAACTGTGAGATGACCACAAAAACAGCAGTGACGTGGAATTGAGCCAGCCAGAGTCTAGAAGACTAGATATGTGTACTGCAGAGGGCAGAGTCAGTGTATTGACCCAAAGCCTATGGAAGAGTACAGAAGATCTTGAATGGATCTTAATATTGTAAGGTTGAAATTCTTTAATTAAGCAAGATGTTAGAGTTCCCAGGGTCATAGGTTACCTGCCAAGCAGAGCTGCTAATGGGGGATGAAGCCAGCACAGGAAAAAGAAGTGTGCTGCTCTCAACAAAGGCGAACAGGATGTAGACCTAGAGATCTATTTGTCGTGGAAATAGGTATCATTACATTGATTTTTTTTTCTTTATTGTTACTTGTACTTGATTCTACCCTAGTTCTCTTAGCCATCTAACTTATAGATCCTGCACATCTAGGCACTTTTCCTAGCAACCCTGGTCCTCAAGTTGGGCCAGTCATTGGTTAACCACTATATAAATCTTGAGCCACCATTTTCCTGATATATCTTCCATACACAACAAGTGTGGTCAAATATTTTGTGGATGGATTGGTTTTGTAGTCCCACCACTGAGAGCCATATGTGATTACAGAAGATGGCTAGTACAGGCTCCATATTTCTGAGTTATAGGGAGTCCTCACTATAATCACCCTCAAAGATTGCAGAGAGTTGTTATTGCATTGTTTCAACATCAACCCTTGAAAGCTTTCTTATTCTATTAATTTCTTGCTGTGTTTTCCTGCTCCATACCTCCATTTGCTTCCATGATCCTTCCTGTTCTTGCTCTAAGTACACCCACAGATCTAGTCTATTTAATCTGTTTGGGATCCATGCACCCCCTGCTACAGCCATCTTTGTCACTTACCCAATCTGGGTCTGTGGATTGTACAGTGATTAGTCTTTACTCAACAGCTAAAATCCACTTACAATGAGTACACATCATGTTTGTCTGTATAGTTTGGGTTTACTTGCTCAGAAGCAAAAAAAAACTCAAGAAGGAACACATAAGGAAATAAATTAATTGAATAAAATTTAAGATTTAAATAAAAAATTCCAAATAGATTAATCTAAACTATCTTAGAAACACTTAACTAAATGATCAATATACTTAGCCATCAATAAAATATACATCAAAAGAGCTTTTTGAATTCACCTTATACAGATCAGTATAGCTGGGTTCAAAAACACAAGGGACAACTCATCCTGGCAAAGATGTTGAGTAAGGAGAACAAAGCTGTGTAGCTTTGAGCTGGGAGAGCAAAGCTGTGTAGCCACTATGGAAACCAATATGGCAGTACCTCAGATAATTGGGAATCTATCTACCTTAAGACTCAGATAAACCACTCTGGTAGTTTGAATGTAGTAAGACCCAATAATCTCCTAGGGAGTGGCACTATTAGGTGTGGCTTTATTAGGCTGGGTTATGGCCAATCAAGTCAATATCATGATTGTTATAAGAGACTTCACACTGAAACAATTGTTTCAGCCTATGACCATCTTTGAAGTTAGACTAAATACAGTTTTTATCATGGGATGACCATGAATATTTATGGATTAGGATTAGAATGTTGTTGATCAAAGGAAAAGGTCCCAGATTAGAAGAAGTGGTTGAACACTTATCTTTCCAGGGTGCTGTTTTTTGTTGTATTTGTAGAACATTGAGTAGGAGAAATTGTTTGGATGAAATATCTTAATTGAGGATTGGATTTACATGTTTATAGCCACAACCCATTTCTGGTTATGTGTGTCCTGCTGTTATGATTTTACTGCCATTATAGATGGTATTGCTAAATGACAAAACATGCAGTTGAAGCAAATTGCTATTCACTCTTAAGCCTTTTGCTATCCTGATTTCTATTTTACTTTTTTTTCTTACTTTTGTTTTTGAAAGAGAATGTTTTTCTGTGTAGCTCTGTGTACTGAATGTAGCTCCTTAGACCATGCTTCCTCAACTCAGAAATACAAATAATCCTGGCTTCTGCACAGAGGGATTAATGGCTAAGCAGCATACATGTTTTTGGTGTGTGTGTGTGTGTGTGTGTGTGTGTGTGTCTCTGTGTGTGTGTCTGTGTTGTTTTATTGTCTGAGGAGCCTGGAATGTAGGTTTTTATACATATCAAAGATAAGTTTCTATGCTGAACTTCACCACATTTTGAAATTTGAAGTTTGGTGGAGGCTATCATTCTCTTTCCCAGGAGAGTAGTATCTATGACATTAATACCTCTGCCTTCTGAATCATTGAACTGCATTTGTGTAGCTTTCTACCTGCTTCTAAGTTTTTTTTTTTTGGTTTGAATGCTTTGAATGAATATGAGGTTCTATCTATATACAAGGGTATGTATCACATGCAAGCCTGTTCGTCGTGTTAGATCCCAAGGGGCTCCAGAACCTATGAAGTTGAAGTAATGCATAATTACAAGCCCCCTTTTAGTACTGGCAACTGTACCCACTTATATGCAAGTATAACTAGCCTCTTAATTGCTGACCCAACTCTCTTACTCTATGTTATTTATGATCATCATTTGTAGGGCTGATGTTTCCTTTGGTCCATTTGTAACTGTTTAAACATGCACTCCCTTTTATTAAGATCTGATTATGAAACAGTTTAAACTGGGCCACTGTAGATTCTAAAAGATGAATATAGAACTAAAGTGAATACAGATTTTTTTTGTAAGAACTTCAGTAAATTCTCTGATTTCTTTTTACCTTTTTTATTTGAATGATTTTTCTATGGATACTGGGTTTTATGAATTTGTAATTCTGGCTTACCTGTAACTCATTGCATAGCCTTTGGCTGACATCCAACTCAATATAATTCATCTGCTTTTACATTGATTGCTGGGATTAAAGGCAAGAGTCAATATACCCAGTTTTCCCATCACTTTTCGAGATAATCATTGTTCTTACTATTTCTGTAATTTTTTTCTCAGTAGTTTTAACTTCTTGTCTGTCTCTGTGTGTCTGTTCATTGGCATTTCTTTCTCAAGGCTGTATCCCATTTAAAGGGCCAATGAATGGCTCATATGAACCTCCTCTTCAGTTCCCTTCTAAAGTGACTGGTGATTACATTATCATGTAATATCATGGAAGAAGTATAGGAAGCAGCAGCATTATACAAATATATCATTTAAAAAGAAATATCCAATGTCAGGATCACACTTTGTTTTACTGTTGGTTGGATTATTCTAGAATTCAGTGACCTATGAGGATGTGCACATTGACTTCACCGAGGATGAGTGGATTTTGTTGAATCCTTCCCAAAAGAGTCTCTACAAAGATGTGATGCTAGAGACATATAGGAATCTCACTGCTATTGGTAAGATTGTGTACTTTCCTTCATGTTTCAAAATAAGGGGACAACTTTTGTATATTTGTGTTGAGAAAGAGTAAGAATGAGCCAAATAACTAAGGCATAATTCACTTAAGGTATTCAATTTTGTACAGTATCCTTTAATATATTATCTACTTTCTGTTCCTATATTTTAGGCTACAGTTGGGAAGACCATAATTTTGAAGAACATAGTCAACGTGCTAGAAAACATGGAAGGTAATTTTTATTTGCAACTTGGTATATATTTGTTTCTGAAGAAGTTTTAATTTGTTCTGGAAGATTTAAAGAAAAACAATAGTATAAATGAGCACAGCTTAAAGTATATTGATGATTATTGATTTCTCATAAAATCATAAGCCTCAATATGAGATAACTCATCTGAGTTTCCAAGGCATTCCTCTAAAGTCAGAAGAGAAGGAAATGATTTCTTACCTGATACCACCATTTGAATCATAGCCCCATGAGAACAATGCTGTAGAAATGCCAATCCATTTATTTTCATAACACTCAGATATTGCACAAGGAACACACATATGCACATTGAATAGATAATAAGTATATGTTTAAAACTGTCCAAAAATAGTCTGTAGTAAAATGCATGTTACTCATGTACTTGTGACTTTACCAAACTTATTGAAAGAGTTAGTTTATGAGAGTCACAAAGGCTCTTGTGGAGAAATTTTCATTCTTATACCACATTTCTGTAAAGAAGAGAAAGTCAAATTGTGTGAATTCAAGGGTCAGTTTGTCTTCCTTTAATAAGAATGTCATATGTCACATGTGAGCTTCCCAAAATGGAAAGAGGGACTGTATCTCTTTCAGAATAATGGGAAGATAGGAAAGATATTTAGTATTTCAACACTGGCTAGATTGGTTGAATGTGCTATAAGATTATATTTAATTGGTTCTCAAATATCCTTGGGAAGACATCAGCAAACTCACACTGAAGATAAGCCCTATGAGTGTTGGACTGTGTACTTACTTTTGTTTGTCTTAGTACACTTTCTTGTGGTAGGTACTGCACTACAGGAAAACATAAGAATGAAAAAGGAATGTAAGGTTATTTAAAACTGAGTTAGTCTTGTTCCTTTTAAATGTGTAAAAAAGCTCATAAAAAATGATGTTATAAATGTGGGTCATTTGACAAAAGACACTTACTGTCAAAAGTTCTTCAAAGAAACAAAACATCCCATACTGGAGGAGAGCACCACAAATGTAAAACTTAAAATCTGATTCTTCTTTACAATTAAACAAAATTATAAAATTAATTCCTACAGATATTAATATTCATCAGTGTAATATACATGGTAAAACTTTTACATGTGCCTATTATCTTTGCAGGTATGAAAGAAACCATAATGGAGAGAAAGCCTCTGAATATACTCAGTGTGATAAAGCCTTTGCATGTTATAGTCATCTTCAAAGTCATGAAAAAATTCATTCTGCAGAGAAGCCATATGATGGTATTCAATATGATGAAGCCATTGCAGGTATCAGCTGTGTCCAAATACTTAAAAGAACTCAAGCTGGGGAGAAACCCTGTGAATATAATCAGTGTGGTAAAGATTTTTCATATGTCAGTAATCTCCAAGTTCACCAAAGAACACATACTGGAGAGAAACCCTATGAATGTAATGAATGTGGTAAATACTTTTCATATGTCAGAAGTCTCCAAGTTCACCAAAGAACACATACTGGAGAGAAACCCTATGAATGTAATGAATGTGGTAAAGCCTTTACACTGAGCAATAGTCTTCGAGTACATCAAAGGACACATACTGGAGAGAAACCTTATCAATGTAATCAATGTGATAAAGCTTTTGCAAGTTATGGTGAGCTTCACAGACATATAAGAACCCATACTGGAGAGAAGCCTTTTAAATGTAAGCAATGTGATAGAGCTTTTTCAGAGCGCTGTAACCTCCAAATACACGAAAGAACACATACTGGAGAGAAACCCTATGAATGTAATTATTGTGTTAAAGCCTTTTCATGTATCAGTAATCTCCAACTTCACAAAAGAACACATACTGGAGAGAAGCCATATGAATGTAATGAATGTGGTAAAGCCTTTTCAAGTCAATGCAGTCTCCAAACACATAAAAGAACACATACTGGAGAAAGACCCTACACATGTAGTCAATGTGGTAAAGCCTTTTCAGTGAGCAGTAGTCTTCGAGTACATCAAAGGCTACATACTGGAGAGAAACCTTATCAATGTAATCAATGTGATAAAGCTTTTGTGAGTCATGGTGAGCTTCACAGTCATAAAAGAATACATACTGGAGAGAAGCCCTTTGAATGTGATCAATGTGATAAAGCTTTTTCATCGCACTCTAATCTCCAAATGCACAAAAGAACACATACTGGAGAGAAACCCTATGAATGTAATCAATGTGATAAAGCCTTCTCATGTATCAGTAGTCTCCAACTTCACATAAGAACACACACTGGAGAGAAACCATATGAATGTAATCAATGTGGTAAAGCCTTTTCACAACTCAGTACTCTAAAAACACATAAAAGACTTCATACAGGAGAGAAACCTTATAAATGTGATCAATGTGATAAAGCCTTTCCACAACTCAATAGTCTAATAGTACATAAAAGAACACATACTGGGGAGAAACCCTATGAATGTAATCAGTGTGGTAAAGCCTTTTCACAACTCAGCAATCTGAGAAAACATAAAAGTACACATACTGCAGAAAAACTCTAGGAATGTAAAGAATGTGGTAAAGACTTTTCACATCAGTGTAGTCTCAAATACATCAAAGAACCATATGTATTTGAGAGAAATACTGGATAGAAACCTTATTACTTTAATCAGTGTAGTAAAGCCTTTGCATATCATAGAAGTGTACACATTCATCTCAGAACACATGCTGAATAGAAACCTTACGATTTTAGCCAATGTGGTAGAGACTTTGTAGGTGTCATCAGGCTTTAAAATCTTGAGAAAAAATCATATTGCAAAGAAACTCTTTTTTTTCTTTTTTGTTTTTTTTGAGACAGGTTTTCTCTGTACTGTGGGAGTCTATTCTGGAACTCACTCATGCTCGAGGCTGGTCTTTAACTCAGAGAGATTTGTCTGTCTCTGTTTCCTAAGTGCTGGATTAAAAGGATGTGCCACCACAGTCAGCCTGACAAACACTTTAGGTGTAATCAGTGTGGTAAAGTTTTCCTCTTTTTGGTAGTCTTTATACAAGAATAAACTTTTAGCAGATAAGGAGTCTATTAAGTCACAATACTCTGAGGACCTGAGCAGATTCATCCTAAAGGGAATGTGACTATAAATGTTTTAGAAATATCTTCAGCCAACAAACATTTACTTACATAAGACTGGGAATAAAACCAATTTGTTCAAGCATTATGAAGTCTCTTATTTTGCACCTACAAAATTACATGGACAAATGTCATGTGAATTCAATGATAAGGTAACCCTTTCTGATTTTGCACTTTTTTTCAATTATATAAATACACTTATCTGTAGAACTTAGCACTATTTGGGAAATAACCAGGCTAGCTTCAAGATAAGCAATTATATTTTTACTTATTATAAGTGGAAACTCATGACATGAGAATGAAAATTCCAAGTTCCGCTGTGTCCTGCAAAAATAACCCAGAGAGCAAGCACCTGGTCCATCCCCATTTTTCTCCTTGGCTACAGGAAGCCATGCCTTAACTACATTCCAATTCTTAAGATGATTGATTAACAAAGCTTCCCCCATAACTTATCTAGATTTAAAATTTTGTAGATGTGTATGAGTGCCTCTTCTGTGCCTATGATAAAATAAAATCCCTAAGTCAATTAATAAAAGAGCTTAATGTGACTCTGGGTTCCAGACGGTTACATGATAACCTTGACAGTGTTGTCTCAAGAAGTGTCAGACATGACAGCTACATTGGGAAGCTAAGAACTCACATTCTCAGCCTGCAGCATGAACCAGGTGTAGGAACTTGAAATGGTGTGTGAATGTATACTCTCAGGAACAAACCCATGACATTTCTTACAGGAAGACAATAATTTCTAAATTTTCCCAAATGATGCCACTAATTGAGAATGATTAACTTCGGTAACTTCAAGTCTACATTCTTGCTTTCTGTTGCATGATCCAAATCACAATTGAGGAAAACTCTGGAAGTAAGCCTTTAAATGAGTCAACACCTGGGTTACAGAAATGAATGCTTACAAAAGGAAAATATTCATGAGTGAAAAAATGTTTAGTCAAAGATTTTATTTAATTTTGATTATGTTATTTTAGTGTGCCTTTGTGTGGGTATATGATTATTCATGCTTGCTCCCAGGAACATTATTAGACCCTTGGGTATTCCTTTTGCAGGACCACAGGAAGTTCTCAAAAACCTGACCTTCATTCTGACAATGAACTTGTCCTCGCTGCTTGTCCTCATCCAATAGCCCTGTAGATATTTTAAAGACTTTATTTTAAATCATCTTAACATCAGGTAATAGGGAAGAACTCCTGCAAAAGAAAACTCTTCTTCATGTAAACGATATGGTAAAGAATTTAGACATCACAGTGGTCTTTATTTTCCAGAAATTTTTGTTTTATATCATTTTCATCATGAAGAAGGTTACTCATTTACTAACTTCACTCAAGCCTGATGGTGGACATTTCTTTATTGCGGTTTCTGATTTGTGAGAGATATTAAAGTGTTCTATACATTTAGCAAATCTTTTCAATAAAGTTTGTTTTGTGTTCTTTGTTTTCTCTCTATGACTTTTGTACATCTCCTACGGTGCTTTCCCTTAGTGATAGGTATTTTTCTGCTGAAATATATAGAATGAGATGTCCGTTATCTAAGTGAAACATTACTTTAATATTAGGCAGTATATATTCATGCATTTTAAGTAATGGTGACTGTGAAAGGGTGGTTAAATTTTTTCCTAGTTTTTTTCATATTTTCACAAATTCCCTTGAGATGTTTTCTATCCAGTCTAGTTTTATGTCACTAATTAGTTATGAGTACATCTGAATTCATAATCATCATGGGTCAGTTTCTTGAATACAAGTCCAAGGGTACATGTTAGACCCCAACATTCACTGTTTTCTCTACATGTTTTATCAAAATTAATGTTAAAATGCATAATAGGATAGAGTATAAGAAACATTACCTCATATGTGTGTCCACAGCATCATTTTCATCAAACTGGTAGAGATGTAAAATGTGGCATAATCAGTAATCAACTGAATATTTCACAGTATAGCTTGATGTCCAGTGGATAGGTATTCATTATTTGAAGTTCTTTGCATCTTCCTGTCCCCATTAGTTATCCATTTGTCACTTCATCATGAAGTGCTTCCTTCTAAGGGAATTATCCAGAGATGCCAGCTAATGTAACATTGATGAGATTCATTTGAAAAAAGTTTCTTTTATATGTATGTGTTATATGATTATGGAATTTAGTCCTGACAGATATGTGAAAACTGTAAGACATCTTTTTGGGATGGACTCTTAGCTCTCTTCATATGGTGATCAAGATGAGGTTACCAGACTTGCACACCACACACATTTCCCACTATGTCAGCACCCTGATTAATTGAAACATTCTACCAGAAAAAAGGTGCCTTTTTTTTCAGATAGTAAACATGTTTTCATGAAGAATAGAGGAAAAACAACTTAAGTAATAAAACCTGTTTTCAATTGAAAATGATAAACTGATTTCTTTTGTTTTTTCCCTTTTTTTGTAGAGTGTGTTATCCTTAGGACGAAACACTTATTCTTAACGTTTTCTCAGAACCCCAAAGAATACCATAATATTTCTCAGTACATAAAGATTTTTGTTACTGTCTGATGGCTTTTGTTTGTCATTGTATATACCGAGTGCAAAAGTGGAGGTCATAAGAGGGAATCTGTTCCCCTTTCACTGGAGTTAAAGAGAATTGTTAGCTGTTGTGTGAGTTCTGGGAAACAAAGTCAGGCCCTGTGGCTAATCAGCCAGTTTTGTCATCTGCTGAGCCATCTATTCAGCCTAGTGAACATGTCATTATAGCAGTGAAGTGTGAATGGATGATCCTGATTTCTTCTTTGCCCCACTTCTTAGGACCCAAAAGAAATACAGTATGGACAGCATCAGTAACTAACTTAGACAAATGCACCAAGATGTCTTTGAGTCCAGATCTCCATAAAACAATGGAAGAGTTATAAAAGTTTTTCAGGAGAGAAACTGAAAACACAAGTGTCTTAAAAGTGACAGACTCTTGATGAAACCACAAACTTGAGTTTATTCCATAGTTGGTAAATAGCAATGGGATAACATAAGGATGCAGAGCAGGTGGAACCCTGCTGGAGTTTATGCTTCCTGTATGGAGAGAAAGGGAACTTGCGTGCACGAAGAATGTCTTTTCTGAATGTGATCATAGTCTGCTCTCCTGATGACTTTAAAACTTTCAGTTAGGAGACTTGAATGGTGGTGACTTCAAATGGCATGAAGATTTTTAAGAAATTCTGGTACTTCTAAAAAGTACCTTCTAAAAAAAAGTGCTAATTCTAGTCACAGGATGGCTCCCATCAAATATAATCCTTCGTTAAAGTCTACCGTCTTCCAACTATTAAAAAAAGTTTTTCTTTATCATTGATGCTTTTATAACTAATCAAGTGACTAGCACATAGTTCTGAATTTATTCTAAAGATAGTTAAACCCAGGCTCACAGAGATAAGTGCTTTTATAATGTAGTTAACTGTAACGTTCTTTTTACTCATCCTATCTTTCTTATGCCTGACTAAATGAAGCTGGAGCAATCTAAGTCAAACATGGTGGCATTGACATGTAGTCATGGAACCAAGAAAGTGGAGGCAGGAACTTCAGGATTTTTAAGTTATCTGAGATGAGAATGGTAAATAGAATGTGGAGGGAGGCACAGAGTTCCAAGGAAGACTGTGATTGGCTGAGATCAGTGTTCAGGGTGTTTGCTGGGATTAAAGGTGTGTGCCACCACTGCCTGGCCCTCAGCAGGTTTTATACATGTATTTGCACACACTTAGTCACACATGCTTAGCATGGAGGTAATTGGAAGGAAATAATTTTTGAACAGGTGAAGACAGAACAAAAATGGTGAAAGTGATATATTTTAAGTAAAATGTATGAAAATAAATTTTAAATAAAAAAGCAGCTGTAGACACAACTTATCAGCTAAGAGCACTGTCTGTTGTGAAAAAGGAAAAGGAGCCATTGCAAGAAATCATGTTTGCTAACCATCTCCTGTAACTCCAGTCCCATGGGATCTGATGCCCTTTTCTGGCCTCTTAGGTACTGTGCACAGAACATGGAAGGCAAACACCCACACACCAAAAACA